TGGAGGTCGAGACCTCAGTTTATCGATCAAACGTCGCCGTGTATGACTCGCCGGAAGGTGTGGAGGTCCGAGGACGGTACGACCAAGTGTTCGCGAAGATTCTGACCAGAGATGCTCTTGGTTTTGTGGCTGAGTTACAAAGAGAGTTTCGTGGACACGTGAGATATGCAATGGAGTGTCGGAGAGAGGCAAAACGGCGTTACAACTCCGGTGGTGTTCCTTCCTTTGATCCTTCCACTAAGTTCATTAGAGACGGTGATTGGGTTTGTGCCTCTGTTCCTCCCGCCGTTGCTGACCGGAGAGTTGAGATAACCGGTCCGGTCGAGCGGAAGATGATCATCAATGCTCTTAACTCCGGAGCTAAAGTCTTCATGGTCCATTTTCTCTCTTTTGTCTCTATTAACGCCTTTGTCATTAGTAGACCGAGTTTTTAAATCAGTTTGGTGAAAATTGGATACGGTTTGGTATTTACTCAAATTAATTGGATCTGTTGGTGAACCGAAATTGGTAAATCTTTAATATATTTTTGAAGCTTTTAATTAGACCGATTTAACTAAGTTCGAATTCGGTTTAGAGTCGAGTTTGATTTATGTTTTGTATGAAGATAAACTTGCCAAATTCAGTTGAGGTTGTTTCGATTATGTTGGTCTGGCTAGTTACTTCTCTTCAGTTTCGGTTTGGTTTAATGTCCGGTTGCTTGAGTAGAACTGATTTGAAAAACAAAGTTGGGGTTGGTTTAATTTGATATTTTTTGGTTCGATCCGATTCAGTTTTTATAGTTACGACCTCTGTTTGGCTCATAATGCATCAGTTTAGTAACAAATAGTCGATAGGTTTGGTTTCACAGTTTAGTAAACTTGTAATAACTAGTTTGTTGTGCTTGAACAGGCTGATTTCGAGGACGCATTGTCTCCGAGCTGGGAGAATCTAATGAAAGGACAAGTGAACTTGAAAGATGCAGTGGATGGTTCCATTAGCTTCCACGACAAGGCAAGGAACAGAGTTTACAAGCTCAACGACCAAACCGCTAAGCTTTTTGTCCGGCCACGAGGTTGGCATCTTCCGGAGGCTCATATCCTCATCGACGGTGAACCGGCCATCGGATGTCTTGTAGACTTCGGTCTTTACTTCTTCCACAACTTCGCCAAATTTAGACAGACTCAAGGTTCCGGTTTCGGACCCTTCTTCTATCTCCCCAAAATGGAACATTCTAGGTACCTCCCTGGACCAAAACCGACCGGTTCGGTCATTAATTTAATGTTTTTAGGGTTAGGGCTAATTAGGTTGTTTGGTTTCTTGACAGGGAAGCAAAGATATGGAACAGTGTGTTCGAGCGAGCTGAGAAGATGGCTGGTATAGAGAGAGGAAGCATTCGGGCCACGGTGTTGATCGAGACCCTCCCGGCTGTTTTCCAGATGAATGAGATACTATACGAACTGCGTGATCACTCGGCCGGTTTAAACTGTGGAAGATGGGATTATATCTTCAGCTATGTCAAGACCTTCCAATCTCACCCTGACCGGCTCTTACCAGACCGTGTCCTAGTCGGTATGGGCCAGTATTTCATGAGAAGTTACTCGGATCTTCTCATCCGTACTTGTCACAAGCGCGGTGTCCACGCAATGGGTGGAATGGTTAGTCCTTAACTAACACTAGTGTCACTAGGGCTATAATTATGTCTCTGATATTGATGTTGATTGGTTTTGTAATATGATGATCAGGCGGCTCAAATTCCGATAAGAGATGACCCGAAAGCGAATGAGATCGCATTGGATCTAGTGAGGAAAGATAAGCTAAGAGAAGTAAGAGCAGGGCATGATGGTACATGGGCGGCTCATCCAGGACTCATACCAATCTGCATGGAAGCATTCACAGGGCACATGGGCAAAACTCCAAACCAAATCAAATCAATGAAGCGAGAAGACGCATCCGCGATAACAGAGGAAGATCTGCTTCAAATACCGCGAGGTGGGCGTACACTCGAGGGTCTAAGGCTGAACACACGAGTGGGAATCCAATACTTAGCTGCGTGGTTAACAGGATCAGGATCTGTCCCACTCTATAACCTAATGGAAGACGCGGCTACGGCCGAGATAAGCCGTGTCCAGAATTGGCAATGGATTAGGTATGGAGTTGAATTGGACGGGGACGGTCTTGGAGTTCGAGTGAGTAAAGAATTGTTTGGGAGAGTTGTGGAAGAGGAGATGGAGAGGATTGAGAAAGAAGTTGGGAAAGACAAGTTTAAGAAAGGAATGTATAAGGAAGCTTCCAAGATGTTTACAAAGCAGTGTACTGCAACTGAGCTTGATGATTTTCTTACACTTGCTGTTTATAATCACATTGTAGCTCACTACCCAACCAATGTCTCTAGGCTTTGAAACTGGCGAGAGAGAGGAAGTTTGAGATGTGAGTTTGTGCTTTGTGCCTGTTTCTCAAATGTTTTTTTGTTTGTTTCTATATTTTGGTATTGTAATAATTAAGCAGAACTTGTTACTTTTTATTTACAATAAGAAATAAATGTTATATACTGAACAATCTATATTTCGATTTACAATTACAGAAACGTAAATTGCCTAATTGATTAGAAAGAAAAACCTTAGGGTTTCAATCACTGAAATTTTGTTGCAATATATAGGTTTGA